GCGTTTTGTTCCCAAGCAGAGGCGTCAACTGTCCAAGCGCCCCGCTGATGCTGATGATGCTCGTCGTATTGTTTGATGCGAATCAACCGTCCAAGTGACCCGCTGATGCTGATGATGCTCGGCGTTTTGTGTTCAAAACAGCAGCTTCAACTGCGCGAGCGCCCGCTGATGCTGATGACGCTCGGTGTTTTGCTTCGTTTTGTTTTCAACCGTCCAAGCGCTTTGCTGATGCTGACTGTTTTCGGCGTTTGGTTTCCAAACAAGTTTCAACCGTGCAAGCGCACCGCTGATGCCGATGATGTTCGGCATTCTGTTTTGCAACAGAAGATTCTACCGTCCAAGCGCCCCCCTGATGCTGATGATGCTCGGCGTACTGTTTCAAACACAGGCGTCAACCGTCCAAGCGCTTCGCTGATGCTGATGATGCTCGGCGTTTTGTTTCCAAACAGAAGGTTCGACCTCCCAAGATTCGCTGCGATTTGTTTCCAAACGCAAGCCTGAATCTTCCAAGCGCCCCGCTGATGCTGCTGATGCTCGGCTCGGCTTTGTGTTTCAGTCAGGTGCTTCAATACAAGTGTAATCGCTACGGGGGCATTTTGGAATTGCAGAAGCTAAGCTCCTTTACAGGGCGGGTGCATGGTGCCGTAAGATGCATGCGACAATTTAGAGCGCCCCCAATCAAGAGACAAAGGGAATAGCTAGAAAAACAGAGTTCACAACCGTCCCACATAAACTCATGACGGGCCCAGGGGCTCAGAGCTCAGACATTGCAACCCCACCACAAAGCTATCAACGCTCAGAGGAACAAAAATGAAGCCCCGCACGCACAACCAGAACCCCTACTGCAAGCAAAAAGCGCCCGATACCCTAAACTCTAAAGCTTGTAAACCCCAAACCCCAAACCACCCCTTACTTCCCCAATAAGCCAGGGAAGTAAAAGGTTAAACTTTCAGATTACTACCAAGTTATAAGAACCCAAAAAGTTTAAAGGTTGGGTATTGGAGAACTAAGACCCGTTTAAACAGGTACTCAGCTCTGTGACCAAACCCGACTTCTCCGTGGCACTGCTGTTTGGCGCGCTCGGCGCGGTCGGAGCCCTAAAAAAGGAGTTTTACCAGTTTTACCTATACTTTTTTGGGGGTTGATTATTATAATTAATTTTAGTTATGGTATAATGGGCCCCAAAACCGTGTTCTAATTATTAAGGCCCCTATATTAGGCGACTACAGGTTAAGTTGTGGCTTTACGGCTTTTAGGCACCGGGTTTCAGGGATTTTCGGGCCACATTTTCAGGTTTTGGGGCTTTGGGGGTTCTTAGCGTTATATAGTGTTGTTGGCCCACTCACCTCCGCCTTATGGCATCTGGGTAGGATGTTATAGGAATGATAGGGTTTTTCCCTGGTGTTGGGTTCCTGGGTTCCCATGTCAGGGTTCGGGCATTCCTTTTCTTGGGGAGTTTCGGCTTCTGGCTGCAGACATAGGATTTTGAGTATTTTGAGCTAGTTTAAAGCCTTACATTGCGAGACCTTTCTTTCCAAGTTCCGAGGCCTGAACCCCCCAAATTCTGTGCGGCAAGGGACCGTCTTGCACAACTATATGGCCTCATTTGGGGTCGATACTGTTGCATGGGCCTGTTGAGGAATTCAGCTCCAAAACGCAACCCTGAGCCGAAACCCGAGTCCTTAAACCCCTCTCTGGGATGTAGAGTTCAGTTTTTGGGGGCTAAGGGTTTATGGTGTGGGCTTGGGTTGCGCTTAAACTGCTATAGAACCCCCAGCCTGAGGCCGTTATGGTCTTGGGGACGCCCCTCGTCTTCGGCTTGGAGCACGAGGCCATCTGGCGAATGACGCCAGAAGCAGCCGCCTCATCTTGGGTCAAGAGTCCCTTGCGTTTTAAAAATGCGTTTTTGACAACCCGCCCAACCCTAAACCTTAAGTTCTTAATTTTGTTAATGATTTCCGGATAGTCCTAGATGTTGTCCTTAAGCCCTAAACCCTAAACCTAGCATAATTACCTCAAAGAGTTTTCGGGTTCGATGCGGCTTCTGAGGTAGGAGGCCGGCAGTTGCGGTGAGAGGCTTCGTGTTCTTTGTCTTATTGCCTTTGTTGGGCTTACGGTTTAGGCGTTGGGATCGTACGGTCTCTGTCGGGTTTTTTAACCGGTACTCTCGGAGATGTACTTTGGGGTCTAGGGTTTTAGATTTCGAGTTCGGGGCTCAAGGTTCAGCGGTTCATGCTCAGCGGTGCGATTTTGCAACAGTCCTGCAGGCCGTCTTGTTATCTTCTGAGATTTCAACGAAATGCAACAAATTATGATTGCAATCACCGATAGTCTCTGTAAACAACTGCGAACCTAGACTTGCGAGCCATAAGCTTAGACAGTAGAGCTGTTAGGATGAGACGGTTCGGGAAGGGGCTTGGGTGTAGGCTGCAAGGCACAGAGAGGTCCTTGGTTGTGCTTTTTCAAGGACAATGTAACCTGACATCAGAACAGAGGAGACTCGAGAACACAAAAACTTGGTTGGCGGAAACTAAAACAGGAAATTCAGGATTCCGGAGGATGGTTGGCTTCGGCAGATTTCTGCTTCGTTCTTATGCTAGCTCCACTGATCTCTACCTGGTAGAGGCATGAAGTTGTCCATCTCATGTTCTCAGAGGATCTCCAGGAACATAGGTTCCTGTTGGTTTGTAGCTTTGCTGTGTGGGGGGTAGGATCCTCCCAAAGGAAATAGAGTTCATAATGTAGACTCCCTCACTAGACTAGCAACCCCGTAATCGGGATGATAATCGTGATCCGAACATTGATGTACGGCGTTTATTGCCCACATCACAGCAGATTCTTGCTGCCAGTTGCTTGCTCAGAGGGTGCGGCCGCTTAGAGCGTCCGCCTCCTCTTTTAGTGGATAAACCCCGGAATACGACTGTCGTCCATGGCCAAGCGGTGGGTGAGCCGCCGACGTCAGCAGGGCGAGGCAGCATGGGGGGGCCTTGGTTTCAGGAAGAGTTGGGTCAAGCTCTTGGGAGTTACCACCTAGATATTTGCCTAGGTAGGACAGGCTGATTGAGCTTTCCAGAAGGGCCCTTTGACCAACGCTGCAGGAAGCCAGCCTCTTATAGAGTACGTCTCGGTCAGAGCATCTTGACGAGTGGTTTATTGAATGATGAAGCCTCAATCCTTGCCAGGTTCGCAGTTGCTTGTTGTAAGGAAACCCGTGGTAACGGGACCTGCGTGGAACAGAGTTCGGGACAGAGCATGCTCTTTCCTAATCCAGGTGGCACTTTGGGAAAGTTTCTAATATCTTTTTATGGTTCCTATCGAGGCACCTAGTCATAAGTGCTTCTAAGATCTTTTAAGGGCCCCAAAGCTACAACCCAGTAATGAAACCCTAAACCCTAAACCCTAAACCCTAAACAGTAATGCTCTCTGGGCAGGCTCCTGAGTCCAGTGAAGCTGCGCAGCCCGCCGTGGCAGAGGCCCGGTTCCGGGTCGGCCATGGTGGGAATGTGTTGACGGTTTAGGGTTTAGGGTTTAGGGTTTAGGGTGTTCTTAACTGTCCGTTGTAACTTATGACTTATAGTTCTGCAAAACCCAACCTTTAAACTTTTGTGGTTCGTATAGCTTAGTAGTAATCTGAAAGTTTAAGTTTGTTATTTGCCTGGCTTATTGGGGAAGTAAGATAAACCAAGCAGAGTATAACTATATTCTCGTAGAATCCCAAACCCTACTCCTAGATCCGCCAATCCCAAAAGTCTACGTAGGCCCGAAATCCTGACCACTTTGGGACTTTAGGGTGAGGGTGCACCCAGAAACACCATAAACCCTAAACCCTGAATCCAAAACCTAGGCCCTGAATCCTAAACCCTAAATCCTAAACCCTAAACCCTGAATCCTAAACCCTGAATCCTACATCCTAAACACTAAACCCTAAATCCTAAACCATAAACCCTAAACCCCATTTTTATAGCTCTCTTCCTCAAGCCATCATTGGCATGAGCCTGCCTTGCTGTGGGTTCCTCTTGTTACGGTGCAACTCCTATGGAGTACGCTCCTTCGCTCGTGCAGCTGGGAAAGGGGGCGCATTGCCTGCAGCTGCAGGCTGGTGGCGCTGACTGGCTCTTCCAAGCAGCCGAGGCACCCGCTGGCTTGCCTGGTGGTTGCGGTTGTGAAGCTGAGGGTTTACGGTTCGTGTTTAGGGTTTAGGGCTTGGGTTAGGGTTGGTGTTTAGGGTTTAGGGCTTGGGTTAGGGTTGGTGTTTAGGGTTTAGGGCTTGGGTTAGGGTTGGTGTTTAGGGTTTAGGGCTTGGGTTAGTGTTGGTGTTTAGGGTTTAGCGCTTAGGGGCTAGGCTTCGAATTTAGGGTTTGGCGCTTACGGATAGCTTGGGGTAGCCGTATGGAGCCTTGTTAGAATCCTATCGAAAGCGCTTGCAACATGGAAAAGACGCCATAAACCCTCTGTTCCCATAGACCCTGTCAAGGCCCGATGAACCTGCGACAAGCCTCTGTATTACCTGCGACCCCCATGGGAACGGTTCGTCAGAGGCAGCGGAAGCCCAGCCGGCACCAGACCAGGCGGATGGGTGCATATACTCTTTTCAGGGTTCCTGCGAAGAAGTCAAACACAATTCCCAAGGCACCGGTTTGGGTTTTTGGGGTTTAGGGTCGCGCGTTTTGGGGTCTGCGGTCTACAGGGTTTAGGGATGTTCAGGGGCAAGTCACCCAAAATGAAACTACGAATATTCTGTACGGCTATCCCTATTAACTCTGGTAACTTAAACAAGGTTCCTTAACAAGAACCCAGGTGTTTGTGTTTACTTTAGGCGTTGGTTCGGGGCTTCGCTTCAATATGCTTCAGGCTTCCACTCAGAGGGGCTTGTAACGCCAGGTGGGTGGTTGACCCTAATTTCTCTTTTGGGGTTTTAGAGTTGAGGGTTTAGGTTTTAGGGTCTCTTTTGGGGTTCCCAAGCTAGAGGGTGCCATAGGAAGAGTAGCATCTTCGTATAGGGTTCCTCAAGGTGACCATGATTCACAGTTACCTGTGTATGTGCAGGGAGCACCCCTTTCGGCAACCTTCGTAGGTTCCTGCAAGTTCGTTCCACTCACAGCTTCGTGCACTGCGTTCGTACTGCGAAACCGGAAGACCAAGAAAACCCGAAACAGAAAACCGGGGCAAAAAGCGGCCTGACCCAAGTGCACACCTCGCGATCTCGCTGTGCACCCCGCTGGCAAGAGCCCGAACCAGAAACCCCAGACTCTGAGACAAATCACTGCGGCAGCTTACAGGCACAAGCGTCTCTAGCAACAGCGTCCTAAACTCTAAACCATAAACCCGTAGAGTCTATGTGAACCGCGCAGGAGCTGGACACTGCACCGCCCGGCTTAGAACCGTCTGCTGCTAGTGGCGCAGATTGGCTGTTCCGAGCAGTGGAGGCGATTGGGAAGACGACCTGGGACTTTCAGAAAATGACGGTGAAGTAGGATTAAACCGCTGCGTCCGCCGCCGATATTCCTGGAAGGCCCATATGTTTGTTAATTATTCTTTTGTTGGGCGGCTTAACCCGCCGTTCACTATCCAGGCTCTACGCATCTCTAACCTCTAAGCCGAAGGTTTGCTCTCTACTGGCAGAGAGTGTAACAATGCCCTGGTCGAATGTTATAGCGTGCTGTATGTTTCTTTAGTGCTGTAGTGCGGGCGTCTTTTTCAAGCATGCGTGGAGGCAAGTCGTGAATACATAAAATTGAGTTCCTTTTGCAAAAGCCATGCCACCGCAAGTACACGCCACCATGGCGCATGTTCTGCACTGATGAGGGTTCATGAACGGGCACTAAACCATAAACCCTAAAACACCCAAAGCCCTAAGAACCCTAAACCCTAAAAGCCCTAAAACCCTAAACCCTAAAAGCCCTAAAACCCCTAAACCGTAAAAACCCTAAAACCCCAGAACCCTAAGCCCAAAAAACCCTAAAAACCCCAAACCCTAAACCAACCTCCTTTCGTCTGAAGCTCCCACACCCGAATACACCAGCCCCGGGGTTACCGAAAGGAGGCGGAAGAATGGGGGACAGGGTGGTGGGTGTAGGTGTAGGGTTTAGTGGAAGTATGGAGGACAGAGTTTTGGGTTTAGGTGTAGGGTTTAGGGGAAGTATGGGCGACAGGGTTGTGGGTTTAGGTGTAGGGTTTAGGGGAGGTATGGGGGACAGGGTTTTGGGTTTACTGTCGTTGGTTTGAGGTTTCAGGGGTCGGCGTGCGGTATGGCGGTGCATGTAGCTTCGAACCGGAACCCTGAACCCGAATCTGCAAGTGGAAGAATACTAGGTTTCGAGTTCGTTGGTTTGAAGCATCAATCTTCTAGAGTTCAAAGGTAATAACTACAATAACAGTCTGTTTGAGCCACAAAAAGCCCTTTCTGCAGAGACGTACTAGATCTGACCGTGTGCAATCCAGCACTGAGGTTGACGCGAAAGGCCTCACCGTTGCAGGAAGACCCAAAACGCAGCACGTTATTCAGGTATGCCTCCTTAGCCCGTATTCAATTTAAGTCCGAAGCTGCGCGGGTTTTGTGATTCAGGCCAGCGGAAGCGGGCAGGACAAGGCGAGCATGTTTGCACTTGGAATGTTCAGAGTATAGGTGCGCTGTGCCTAAAGCCGAAGCCGCACGTCCAGCTTGCTGTTTAGGGTGTCGGGCATCAGCTCTGACCGTAAAATCACATATGCATCTATGCTTCTACGATCCTCAAAGTCGATGCCCCCAGCCATTTCTAATACGTCTTCTGGAGTTGGAGGTTCAGGGTTGTGGATCTGATCTGTCGTGCCGCAGAGCCTTCTGTCTCGAAGCGGTGGCACCTTATCGTTGGTTCGTGAAGCCTCGGCGATGTCGCATCCTGATCAAGTCTCAAGCTGCGCAGCAGCTTGTCACCCTAGGATTGTTGAGAAGAAAGGGTGCCAAGAACATCACCGTCAGAGGTTAGCAAGAAGTCATGCTGCACCTAGTTAGATGCCTGAAACCCTCTCGCTGCCGCGGGCACGTTCACCGATCTCTTGACAGATTCGAGCAGCTGCTCTACTTGCGTCACGAGCAGTGTGTAGCAACTGCGGGTTCTTGCAAATCGATGAGTTCGGTCAGCGCAGACGATCTAGCTGCCTGCCGACCTCCCGCTCAGTATCTGGAATGCCTGGATGAGATGGTTTCTGTCGCCAGGCAGCCCCCAGCCAGGTCAGGCAAGGTGCAGACCCGAAGGATTGCAAATGAATCTGGTCATCTGCCATGCAATGCCTGTGGCCGATATTTCGATCACACGGCTTTTTATGGATCCCACTCGTACTGCAAAGATTGCAGCCGCAATAGTTCGACTGCTTGGACTCGCACACTGCGCGGAACTGTAAAAAAGCTTCTGAATTCGGCAAAGTCGCGTGCGAAGCGGAAAGATTGGACCTTCCAGTTGCAGTTCCATGATGTGTTGGATATGCTGTTGCAACAAGAAGGGAGATGCGCCTATTCCCACATAGCTATGGAGCTCTTGTCGCCCTTCTCGCACTGGCGCATGTCCCTGGAACGGAGAAACAACACTGAAGGCTATGTGAAGGACAACTGTGTCCTTGTTGCTGCTGAGTTTAACTCACCTGACTTCAGCAAGAGAAAGGGCGTGCGAAAACACGACGTACAGGGCACTGCACAATGGTCGCCAGAGAAGGTTGCTGCTGTGGGCAGTGCAGAAACTGCCTTTGTAAGCGTGTCACAGCTTGAAGCAGATGTGGACCGGGCTTGGTCTCGGCCACAGATCCCGTTCACTGAAAATTACCGCTACCTTTACTACAGAACACTGAGGGGCAAGGCGAAGTCCCTCGCAGGTACTGCCAAGAGACGGGCCACAAATAGACAGCAGACGTGCGAGATTCAGTATGGTGACATCCTGAGAATGCTGCTGGAGCAAGGTGGGCGCTGCTTTTACTCTGGTGTCCCACTACAGTACGACAAGGTTCATGTCGATTGGGTAATGTCCTTGGAGCGGCTCAACAACAGGTGCGGTTATGCCCGAGAAAACTGCGTTCTTATAGCTGCAGAATTCAATACGATGGATCTCAGCAACCTGGCCACTGGCGAGGTACAAGGGTCTCCACAGTGGTCGCGGGCAAAGGTGATGCATGTTTGGGGGCAGGCTGGATGCCACGGTTTCAACGAATCGCAAGCCGGCAAATGAAGGGAGGATATTTGCGCTCTCTCTCCATGTATGAAAATGCAGCTGCAGGAGCATGTCGCGGCTTCAAGACCTGCTTAAGTGCGGGATCCAGCACAAATGCCAGCCGTCATTGCTCGGAACGGAACCCCAACACTGTGAAATTTCATAACCGCTAGCTTTAGACTCGCCAGGAGCATTTAGAGGCCTCGTGAACACCAGCAACCCTGATCCTGAAAGACCAAGAATCGAGCATCACCTCAGACCCCTGACACAAGGCCTAATTGCTAAACTTAGAGATGTTTAGGGTGTCGGGTATCCTGCTTGACGTATCTAAGCTTCGCTGTTCGGGATGCAGGGCTTTCTGTTGCTGCGCAGACCTCAAGCCTTGTATGAGTTTTAGGCTTTAAACTTTCAGGTGCTTAGGGGGGTTTCGTTTTGTTTGGGCGACTGAGGGCCTGGCCCTAGCTGTTTAAGCACGCTTTCTAGAGTTGCAGGTTCAGGGTTTCGGATTTGGGGATCGTTGCGTGCATGTACATGCTGTGGAACCGCCGACCCTTTCGCTTCGAATCGGGTATGCGCGAGGTGGATGTGTAGGCAGCGGAGACATGGCGCTTGTTCAATGGTTCATGAAAGCTTGGCGATGTCGCATCCTAAGTCAGTAACCGGCACCTACCGGCCGCGCCAGGTGTTTCAAGGAATTAGGATCACATCGTGAGCCGAATGTGCCGAATTGAGTCATGCTGCATGTACGATGCCTGATACCTTCTTGCTGCCCTGGGCCTGTTAACCTATCTCTTGAAAGCCTGGCAAAGGTTTCCTGTTTACGGCACAGAAAACACGCAACTAATGCTGCTGGTGTGGACTCGGCGGCTTCAGTCAGCACAGACCAGCTAGATCGCTGTCGACCTCCCACTCACTACTTGGAATGCCTGGATGAAATGGTTTCGATCGCTAGGCAGCGCCCGTCCTTGTCAGGCAGGGTTAACACACGCAGGATGGCAAATCAGATGGGCGAGCTGCCATGTAATGCTTGTGGCAGATACTTTGAAGTGGAGGCCTTCCCCAAAACGAAATCAGTCTGCAAAGACTGCTCGCGCAAAGATGCACGCAATCACTACCGCACATTACGAGGCTTCGTGCTCAAGATGTTGGGTTCGGCAAGAGTGAGAGCGAAGCGAAAAGGATTTACACATGACCTGCAATTGCAGGACATTCTGAACCTGTTGTTGAAGCAAGGTGGGAGATGCGCATATTCTGGCATAGCAATGGAGATGTTGGTTCCTTTCTCTCACTGGCGCATGTCCCTAGAGCGGCTGGACAATTCTGAGGGATACGTGAAGGACAATTGTGCCCTTGTTGCTGCTGAATTCAATTCAGCTGATTTCAGCAGGTGCAGAGGTGTGCGAGCAGAAGAAATACAAGGCACAGCACAGTGGTCTTCCGAAAAGGTTTCCACGGTGGGCTGCATTGACACCACTTCCGTGAGCTTGCCACAGCTTGAAGCAGAAGTCACGCTCGCCACTGGTCCTCCATGCATTTCAGCAGCGCCTGGTGAATACGGTTTGTCTTATCGGAGAACCTTACGTGGGAAGGCAAAATCCCTGGCAGCTACTGCACGAACGGCTTCTGCAAGGAGACAGCGAACAAGCGAAATTGAGTATACTGACATCTTGGAGATGCTCTTGAAGCAAGGCGGACGATGTTTCTACTCGGGTGTTCCGCTACGGTACGACAAGCCTCATGTTGATTGGGTCATGTCTCTAGAACGTCTTGACAACAGCTCCGGCTATGTCCTGGACAACTGTGTTTTGATCGCCGCAGAGTTCCATACGACTGACCTTAGTAAGAACGCAAAAGGCGAGGTGTACGGATCATCGCAGTGGTCGCGTGCCAAGGTGATGCATGTTTGGGGCCAAGCTGGCTGCGACAGATTCAATCACTTCTGACTCTTGAGGATTGGCTCGGGCTCTACCAGCGAAACCTGCCATCCGGTTGTGGTTTAAGCGGCTGCACTTCAACCTTCCGTGATGTTGGGGTCGACGGATGAAGATTGAAATCTGCAAAGTGCCCTAACTTCAATCTTGGTGGCTTTGCGGGGCATCGAAAATCCCGCAGACACGGACTTCAGACTTCAGGGGTGCTCGCATGGTTGGGGAGGCCCTGGTGTTCTAGTTACTCTTTCTCTCTCTCTCTCTCTCCCCTTCCCTTACGCTCCTTCCCCTCCCCGTGTCGCTTTCTTCTCAGCACCTTCATGCCCACCTTGCTACACCTGTCAGGCACCAGGACCTTCGGCAGTGAGCCACGAAGTGCCCATTCCTCAGCTCTTTCAAGCGCACAGTTTTTCCATGGCTCGAAGTCCAAGCCCCCAAACATGCAGCCGGTAACTGTTGGGTTTCATGGTTGTTGTTTTTTTGGTCTGTGGTTGGAGTGTCGGGTTGAATCAGGGCTATGGTTCTGGGATCAGAATCATTTCGGGGTATGGGATTGTCGTGACCTTCCCTTCGCTGTCATGGACGGCTGAGAGACAGACCTTCTTCCTCGTCACTCCAAAACGGCACCCAACCCTTGAGCGCTACTTCTCATAACATAACAGACGGCGCGCCGCCACAGGGAAGACCAGCTTTGCTTAGAGCATGCGCTGAGCACTGCAACCTACAGCCACAACCATGTAATCTGAACCCTGAAATCCCAAACTCCCCCAACCCTGAAATGCAACCTCCCCCCTGTTGTGCCGGGTGTGCTTGAAACTTGGTGCTCAAGCACCCCCGCAGGAAGTCCCCCCGGCATGAATCCCTAAACCCGCGGCTCTAAACACAGAAAAAGCCCAGAATCCTGAACCCCGACGCCCCATTAAAGACAATGCCAAGCAGCTGAGGCCCACATCTGCCAAGAGCAAAGCGGCCAAGAAGGACTGAGGGGCAGTGATAATTATGTCTTGAGTCTTGATGTTGTCCTTATAACATAGAAGCCTAAGTAATGACTAATTAATAATCGTCCTTAGGGTTCCCTCTTATAAATATACTATCAAGGGGCCCAAAACCCTGCTCTAACTTTGAAGGCCCCGACATTATCTCTTGCGGCGGAGGGCTGAAGGCTTCAGGGCCAAAGAGCCTCAAAAGCTCTTGGTGGCTGCCGCGGGCCATGGTTTACATTGCCGGACCAAGTTTCCGCCTTGAAACTCACGAAGGGTGTTGGGTAAATGTAGGGGCCTGAGTAATTAGAATAGGGATTTGGGGTCTATTCTTATATATTTGCAATAAGGAGCCCCCCAAATTCATGTAGGTAATGACTTTTGCCCTCAAAAAGTAGGGCTTCGGGATGGCTCGATTTGGGGACCTCGGGTTCTCAGATCCCTCCAACTCGACGGGAACTGTGCCACCGGTTTAGGGGTTTCAGGGCTCAAAAAGGGCCCCCTTATTCTTGAAGCAAGCTCCGAAGCCTGCGAACCCTGAAGCCGAGCCTAGGCCTAGACCCGAACTAGCTTTGTGTGCAGGACCCAGAGACTCCAATATCCCTTAATTAAGGAATATTCCTTAGATTATAGTAGGATCCTTAATATGATTTAAGGTATATTCCTTAATTAAGGGATATTGGAGTCTCTGGGGATGTGGGGTTCAGGACGCAATCATCAGAATTGCAAGCCCGCCTAGTTCATTCAACACTGGAAGCTCCTTGTAAGCTGCATGTAGGAGTTTGCATCCCCCAAGCATGGCAGGCACACTGTAGCGGTCTTAGAATAGGGTTTTGGGGTATATGATACTATAAATACTATAAATATAATAAGGAGCCCACCAAAATAGTATAGGACTACCCTACAAGGCTTGAACTGAAGCTTCTTCTCATCGGAAATCATCTCAATTTTCAGCCCCCGCTGTTATCCAACCCTCCGAGAGGAGTTCTAAAACTGTGGGAGTAGCCTCAAAGGACTGCTCGAGGTAAATGAACGGTTAGGGGAATGCCCCAGACTCAATAGACCCTGTGAGACCCCACAGACCATACAATATTAGACCCCGATAGACCTCTTAACAAAAAGTCCCCTGGTCCCTTACGCGGAACCAGGACCGGGCGTCCGACCCAATGGCTGCATCGGCCGGAAGCTGAGGACATGCAGCAGCTCAGAACACGGTTCTACATGGGGCTTAGGGCAGTAGGAGTTCGTCGTTTCGGATGTTGGCGTTTTTTTGTGTACGCAGGCTTCCTTCGGTTTCGGGTTTCGCGAACTTCAAAAATCGATTTACTTATAGGCTTTAGGACATGTAAGATCGCTTTAGATTATGACAGCAGGCTCTTGGGGTTTTGGATTTCTGAAAATGACGTTTCGCTTGAGAAGTTTAGCGTTTACTTAACTGTCTGTGGGGTGGTGTCTAATTAGGTTTTGGACTGGATTTAAACAGGATACTTACTTTCCATCAGCGAGCCCCGGTCTAGTCTAGCCCCGAAGTAGTGGGTGTCTTGTTATAGAAACCTTTTAAGCAGGAACCGTTTAATTGTCGTCATGGTAAGTTTCAGATTTTGCGCAGAAGCCTTGAATTCTGAACCCTAGGCGCCTGAACCCCAACCCTCTACGACTCCAAACCTGCAAAGCCTGAAACCCCAAAGCCCCGCACCCTGAAAGCCCTTGCGAAGCAAACGAGGCCAGGCGAGGGGTCGCCCGGGCGAATTACGAGGCAGCACACAGGGTCAGCCCAACACCATCAGGGTTTCAGTATGGTACGCCCTGGCGGCGCGTATTTTTGGGCATTATGTATGGAAGGGGTTCAGGTAGTTTGCTTACGGAGTACCAGTCTCCAGGGTTTAGGGTAGTGTTTGGGGTTTCGTTTTGGGAGATTCGGATTTGTTTTAAGGGGGTGGAGATGAGGCTACTCATGCCTTTGACCCCGAAGCCCCAAACCCTCTAAGAAGTGCACCGATCCCCTAAACCCTGAAGCTTGACCCGAAATCCCTAAACCCTAAACCCCGAAAGCTCTCAAGCCCTAAATCCCAAACTAAAATCCATGTAGACCCCAAGCCCTACTCCTTCGACCCTCTTACAGAGCTGACGCCCCGAACATGGCAGGCCGAAGATCTGGGACCCGAGTACCTGCGATTGCGCAAAGGCCGATCGCAGGGTTCAGGGTTTAGGGTTTAGGGTTCAGGGTTTAGGGTTTAGGGTTTAGGGGCTGCTGTTGGGGTTAGGGCCTTTTCGGGTGTAGTTCTTTTTGATTGGTGTGTTCCAAAAACGCGATTCTGAAAGGATACATAGGGGTGTTAGGGATTAGGGTTTAGGTTTAGAGGTCTGAAGAGGCAGCATTTCTTGGATGTTCATGAGAACCTCTCTATGCTGTGCAGAGTTGAGAGGCTGGGCCCAGCTTGCGCAGACAAGACGCTGTGCGATTGGAGCCCTAAGCCCAGAACATTAAACCACCTGTCAAACCGCTCAAAGAAAAAAACAGAATCCGGATTCCTGCGGTAGTTCCTGAACCCTACAAGTGTGCTCCGAACTCAGTGCATAGAGCCTGTGCATGTGTTTTACACCCAGGCAGCAAGCTACCTTGTTTTGTTCACGGCTGTTTTAAACCCGAATACCAACAAATGCTATGAGCTTGCGGGATTTTGTCCGCTTTAGGATTCAGGATTTTGGGTTTAGGGTTTAGGTTCAGGGTCTAGGATTTGAAACTGTGGCTGCGACTTGGTATTTTCTTACGAGCTGGATGATTTGCTAAAGTCTTCTGTCATATTTCTATCTGGCAACTACCTTCCTATTGCTTATTAAGCTCAACCTTTGTGCCCGAAGCCCTAGACCCTAAACCCTAAACCCTAAACCCTGAAACCCTAAACCCTAAAACCCTAAAACCCTAAACCCCAAACGCAATTCAGCGCTGCCGCCCTGCCCTAGCCATGATGGAGGTGATCCGATGACGTTGATTCCCCATGCAGAGGAGGATGAAGACTGGGTCCTGGCCTCGGGTTTTAGGGTTTACGGGGTTTTAGGGTTTTAGGGGTTTTTGGGCTTAGGGATTTTTGGGTTTTTGGGTTTTTGGGTTTAGGGTTTTAGGGTTTTAGGGTTTTAGGGTTTTAGGGTTTTCGGGCTTGGGGGTAGATTCATGTGAGAGAATTTGAAGGTTCTCCGAATTAGGATCCTTCACCGTGTAGGACTCCTTGTCATCGTAAGTGTAGGAGTGATGTGCTTGTGTTTTGTTGGGGGGGTGAAGTTTCCAAAAGATGCTTCGATCGTCGATCCTGAGATGAAGGCCGGCCCTCCTAGCAATTAAGGTTTAGGACCCGGGTTGACGGCCAAGGGGTTCAAGGAGATATCACTGGCTGTCTTTGTACAGATATCCTCACACTCTCGAAATCAGAGGAGGTTCTGTGATCTGAGCTGCAGCAGCTGGCGGGATCCAGCCGTAAACGCCGTTAACCCGAGTTTTAAGACTCAAAGTTGCATTCGTGCACTCGTCGTCACAGTATATAAGCTGTGCAGTCCCAGAGCAGTGGCCACGAGATCGATCAGAGCTTGGGGCTTTATTTAGGAATACGGGGGCATAGATAATTACCGATACTATTTTGGCGGTTCCATATTATAATTGTTGTATATTCTTCCCCCAAAACCTTATTCTGATTTGGGACCCCCCTCCTTAGGTTGGTTTCAGGGTTTGAAGTTTGAAGCTTAACCCCGTACCCTAAAGCCTAAACTCTAAACCCTAAGCCCTAAACTCTAAACCCTAAGCCCTGGACCCGAAATCCATAAACCCCAAGCCCTCAACCTTAAACTCTAAACCTTAAACCCTAAACCCTGAACCCTATTCAGAAACCCTCCACCTGAGGCCTTTGGCCAGGTCCGCGACCTTACCGGATGGGTCCCTCGAAGCTACTTCAAGGAGGCGGATTTGGTGCCTCTAGGGTGAGGGCCAGAACAACTCCTCATGGGGTTCTTTGGTATAACAAGAATAAGACGATTAAAGAAGAACTACCAATAAGGTTTGAAGTTTAGGGTTTAGGTACTCAGGTTGAGGGTTTAGGGTTTAGGTACGATTCTTTCGTTCACAAAGATGATTACAGCATTCCCCAACTATGAATGCCACCGTTTTGTGGGGGTGGAAGCCTCAATCCAAAATCCGACCCTAAACCTCGACCAAACCCAGGGGCTTAATGGCTACGTCATTACTTTGTGAAGGATCTCAACGAGAGTTAAATCAAGTCCTAAATCCCGAAATCTCAAACCCCTAAACCCTAAAACCCTAAACCCGAAACCCCTAAACCCCTCTGCCCCTACACTCTTAGCCCTAAGCCCTAGACCAGAGCTTCATCGAACAACGGTTTTAGGCTTTCAGGGCTTACAGTTTCCCGCCTAAGGTGTGCGGCTTTTAGGTTCATCAGGGTCCACGTTAAGGGGTTAAGGGTTTAAGGGGTTTAGGGGTTAAGGGTTCAGGGGTTTAGGCTTTAGGTTTGAGGGGTTTAGGGGTTTAGGGTTCAGGGGTTTAGGGTTTAGGCTTGAGGGGTTTAGAGGTTTTGGGTCTAACGGGTGGGTTTAGGGTTTAGGGATTTGGGGCTTAGGCTTGGGGTTTGGGTAGTCTCAGTTTCGATGGGGTATTGTCAAGGTCAAGGGCTTTCGGGGCCCTTCTACACAGCCCCTCGACACGGGTCGAACATCCTTCTGATCCTCTGGCAGCATGTCTTCATTGTTGGGAACACCTCTCCTTCAGAATCTCATGTGGCTTCAAACACAAGATGAGGCCTTAAGATCCTTTTTCGGACGGTTAGCTGTCATGGTTGGTTTTTGATCATACTATCCCTTCTTCTTGCTAGCATTGCTGTTTACAGAATTGCACGCCCTCAAAGCCCCTAGTAACATCGTGACGCTTTATACCGGGGCCTGAATATTTAGAACCAGCTTTTGGAGTACATCATAGGAAAACTGTAATGAGGAAGTGTTGCTTTTACAACCTAAACCCTAAACGCTTGAGCCCATGAGCTCAAAGCTTCTTAAGGGCTTCGTGTACCTGTGCCTGAAAGTTTTCAGAATGACTGGGATGTACGGCAAACCACTTACTTTCCTCATTCTCCTCATTCTGAGAGCTTGACTTAAGTTCCAAAAGAGGACAGTACAAACTCTAGTCTCTAATCCGATTTCCCAAGTTCGAACTTCAATTCTTCTGCGTAGGAGCTTCAACTGGCAGAGGCGCTCGTCGAGAGCTCATCAGACGAGGTGCAACCCTGACTGATGATTTGGTGTCTTTCTGTTTTCGCGTTTAGGGTTGAGGGTTTAAGGTATATGTTTTTGTTTCAGGGGTGTAGGCTCAAATGGGTTTACGGTTTGGCCACTCGGCTTGCAGTAAAGAATCTTGGCGAAGCAAGCGTTGCGATACGTAGCATATAGAGGCTCAAACAATTGACAATTCTATTTCTACGGGTTACTACTGTTGCTTCTATAAATTCTGCATTACCTTCAGGACCCTAAACTAAGGAAATTATGGTATATCCCTTACTATGGGTAATGCAGGATTTATGTCATCAACCGTAGTATTGTAATGACAATATTTTATACCACCACATCCTACTAAGATAATTGAGGTGTCTATACTGCCTCCGTAAAGTAACCTTTACAGACCCCGTTAAAAGGAATAATATAGGGCCCTAATTAATTACCTATACTATTTGGGTGGTTCCTTATTCTAATTATAGTATGATAGACCCCCAAACCCTATTCCAATTATTGAGGCCCCTATTCCTATACCCTAAACCCTAAAGAAATATTAGCCAAGATCGAGAGGAGGAAGAAGTGGAACCCGAGGATGCAGCGTCAAAGGACCGGGTCTTTTGTTTCGGTTTGAGGTCGGTAAAGCTTCGGGGCGTAGAATGGTGTGCATTTCAGGGCGGCTGGGTCTCTGAGTAGTATCGAAATTCGCAGTTTTCGAAGTTTAGATTTCGTGGTGTAGGGATGAAGGTTCAGGACTTAGGGCCTTTACTTTGGAAGCAGTGTTCGGGATCTAAGAACAGCGAGTGCACACCATAGAATACGGGACCCATAAATAATCACAAATTATCTTCGGTCCATGCACAATCCTTCGCTGAAGCTGTGTAGCCTGAGAGGGTTCAGGGTGAAAGCTAAACCCTAAACCCCACGCCCCCAAGCCTCTAAACTAATAAACTCTAGACCCTAAACCCTAAACCCCTGTACCCCTAAACCCCTAGAGCCCAAACCCTGAACCCCTAAATACCCAAACCCCCCAAACCAATAAACCCTAAACCCCTAAACACCCAAACCCCCAAACCCTAAGCCCCAAACCCCTGAACCCCTAAACCCCTAAAGCCCTAAAGCCCTAAAGCCCTAAAGCCCTAAAGCCCTAAAGCCCTAAAGCCCTAAAGCCCTAAGCCCTGCAGCTCAGCCTCCGAACCAAGCCCTAAACCACCTTGAAAGACAGCCCTGGTTTAGGGTTTAGGGTTTAGGGTTTAGGGAAAGACAGCCCGCACGGCGCACGCGGATGCCCGCAGGAAGCTGTGGTTTCTGCTGACTTGGTGGCTCGCCGCATTCCAGTAGTTCTCCAATACCCAACCTTCAATCTTTTTGGGTTCTTTTATTTTAGTAGCCATCTGTAAGTTTGACCTTTTATTTCCCTGACTTTTGTGGGAGTAAGTGAAGCGGATATTTTGGAAGCCTATCTGATTACAAAGATTTGTCCTTAGGGTTCCTTATAATCATCATAGTACAATATATTCCTCCAAAGCCCCATTGTAATTGTTAAGGCTCTTATGGTAGCAGCATTAGCATTTTGGTCTGCTGTGCGCTCGACATTTCGACCCTTCCCACTACCTAGGTTCTCGCATTTAAGTCCCGTGCTGGGTCGCCGAATGCCTAATCTAATTAGCGATGCTATTTTAAGGGCTCCTTATCTTGTAACTATAGTCTAATGTACCCCAAAACCCTGTTCTAATTATTACGGCTCCTATGTTACGTCACTCTTACAGGAACTCAGGACTTTCAAAGGGTTCCTGATTTAGAGACTCTCCTTTTCGCTGTACTCTTCCAGTCTCAAAACAGTGAACCCCTTGGCATAGCCCTGGAAATTCAAAGTTCAGCATTTTAGGGTTTGGTGATTTTAGGGTTTTGGGAGGTAGGGACTTAGAGCTCAGACAGAGTTTAAGGGAGCTCCGGTCGCCGTGGCCTTTTGACGCTGACTTCATGCTTCGTTTTCCAATGCCCAACTTTAAATTTTTTTGGGGGTTCGTATTAATTAGTAGTTATCTGACAGTTAAACCTTGTATTTCCTTGGCTTGTTGGGGAAGTAAGGATGTGGAAGCAGCCCTTTCTTCATACCTGCGTAGCCAGTCTTTAATTCATCCGGGCATAGTTTCAAATCTTCCTAGGCAATATTGATAGTTTCACATCTTCCTATAGGCAATATTAAGGACACCCCTTACAAGGGGACCCTTCTTAAGCCTACTTATGGCTCTCTTAAAAGGGACCTTCTCGAGAGGGTCTATATCGCCAGGGGTTCCCCTAATCCCTAACTCCAAACTCTTAACCCCCGAAGCGCACAAAAGTGACAGGAAGAAATCAAGGGCTAGGAAGCCGCACCGCACAGCCCTACTGACCTACTCTGAGATTTAGGAGGCTTCGGTCAGATAAGGTTGATGATACAAATCCTGAATTGCCCATAATAAGGAATATACCACAATTCCCACATGTAGGGTCCTTAAGGTCATGCAGGATTTATATCATCAACAGTATGAATGCTTTGGGTCAGAGGCGCAGCTACGAATGATGGGGGAGATTAAATAACCGAAACTTTCGAGACAATAGCCCCTTAACCTTAAAGACAATAACCCCCACAAGCCCCGTGTTGAAGCCCTTCGGAAGCCCAATCTGTCGAATCTTGACCCTAAATCCAAAACCCTGAACCCTAAACCCTAAACTCTAAACCCTAAACCCTAAACCCTAAACCCTAAACGCTAACCCTCTCTTGCACCCATTCAGGCTGGATGGCGGGAGCGGTTTCCGAGCAACTTGTTTGTTGTTGCAGATGCGGTTTCGGGTTTAGGGTTTAGGGTTTCGGGTTTATTTTTTTGTGCAGGGTTTAGGTAGTTTTTTGGGTTTAGGGTTTAGGGATGCGGTTTCGGGTTTAGTTTTTTTTGTGCAGGGTTTAGGCAGTTTTTTGAAGGCCGGGGGGCTTGAGGTTTGGAACTGAAGGTGCAGGATTCGAAATGAATGTTTGGTTTTTCTGACTGCTAAGCTTATGCTGTTTATGGTTGACATTCGTTAGACTATGCACTGCAAGCTTAATAGTCTTGTCTAGTATTTCACGCTGACGTAATACTTTATACTTAAACCCGACAAGCCTATAAGATGGTGATCAAGAGCCCCACTAAGCCTAAACCCTAGCCCTAAGCCCGAAACCCTACACCCATAACCCTAAACCCTAAACCCTACGAATCCTCAGCCCGAAACCCTAAATCCCAAACCAAGGCAAGAGCTCCCTGAACCCTAAACCCTACGAATCCCAAGCCCGAAACCCCTGACTCAACCCTAAACCCTAAACCCCAAACCCTAAACCTTTAAACCCAGGCAAGAGCTTCGCTGTTGCATCTCTGCGTCAGCAAACAGCTCCAACTGAAGACGACTTGCGAGTTGGCTGCATCCTCCGTGACTTGGTCCATGGTAAGGATCCTGTTTAGGGTTTAGGTTTTAGGGTTTACGGTGGTTCAGGGTTTAGGGTTTAGGTTTTGGGGTTTAGGGTTCAGGGTTTAGGGTTTAGGGTTGAATCCTGAATGAGTACTATGGGGCCGTGCCAGCATTGTGCCTCATAGGGCTCCGTTTTTTGATTTTTTTATTTTAGTGTGATCCCACTTGGTGAGAGGTAGGGATCCTTTAGACTTTTGGGGTGGTTGGGATTTCTTATTCCTTGAAAGAGAGCACCGAAAAAGGATCCTTGTGGTAGTGATCCTGAAACTTCAAAAGTACAAGATAAGACTGCAACTCAAAACTCTATCAGAATTACTAATAACCCTAAACCCTAAACCCTTGACCCTAATTAAGCCCCTCACATATCACTGTTTTTGGTTGGAGTTTCCCAGTATGTTGTCAGAGAGAACCCAAAAAAACGGATCCTTTTTCTGCCCTTCTGAGCGGGGACCGAGGTGGGGGTTTCCGAACATAGGGGGTACGTACCTTATTTTGGGGTCCTTATAATAGCTTAGTGGCTGAGTAGGTAACCTTTAGCCTTTTGGGGCTCTTATAATCCTACTATAATTCAAAAGGTTAACCTTTTTTGGGCTAGGGTACTCAGCCCCTAAGATAGGGATCCTACTATTTGGGGTACTATATTAGGGTCCCCCATTTTTGGGAACCCCCAGGTGATGCGGGCGGAACTATGCCTTTGGAGAAGCTGAAGCAGAGGCCTCGGGTGAACTACAGCTGGAGACCCAGAGACTCCAATATCCCTCAATTGAGGAATATACCTTAAATCGTATTAAGGGTCCTACTATAATTTAAGGAATATTCCTTAATTAAGGGATATTGGAGTCTCTGGGGAGTTGAATTGTTAGCAACGATATTCCGTTGTTGTCCCTGCTATAATATACCCGGCAAACCTGTCCAGATTCCGGTTCGAATGAATCAGGCCCCTATACTTAGTTCTCCAATACCCAACCTTTAAGCTTTTAAACTGTTTGGGGTTCTTCTAATTTAACAGTAATCTGAAAGCTTAACCTTTTGTTTCCCTGGCTTACGGGGGGAAGTAAGTACTGTCCCTGCTATAATATAGCCTGCAAACCTGTCCAAATTCCTGTTCGAATGAGTCAGGCCCCTATATCAGGCTTCAAGATCTGGGGTTGAGAGTTTAACGCCCTATGTAGGAGCCCAGGGAGGTCTTGGCGTTCTTCTGGTTGGCTCTCAGGACTTTAACTTTTTGGGTTTCTATATGAACTAGAATAAGTGGGCTAAAAGCTTAACTTCAACTTCTAGGCGGGGTTCAGAAGTCAGCCAAGTTGTTCTGGTGTCATATCGACTGTGTCATGCAACACTTTGGCATAGCTACCCTTCCAGCATTCCCTTAGTTGACCAATGCCCAACCTTTAAACTTTTTGGGTTCGTATAGCTTAGTAGTAATCTAAAAGCTTAACCTTTTATTTCCATGGCTTATTGAGGAAGTAAGAGAATTCCATTAAGGTGCCGCACATCCAACATTAATGAGTGTTCTTGGAGAGCCGACATCGACCCATCAGGTGCCTGGGGTCGCGGCAGAAGATAACGAAAAGCTACCTTGTGAAGAAGAGCTACCTCTTCGCCTTTCCGAATAAGACAGACATCACCTTTGCAGATCCTCTTCCTGTCTTCGTGGAGGGCCAGGATGCTCTGCCAGAGACACGGCTCGAAGGTTTAGATTCTGATACGTAGTGTTGTTCAAGTGCGGCTACCAGCTACTGCTACCGTGCCCCTTGCCCAAGAGTGGTAGACTGACTGAGAATGTGGAACACCTGTTGGGTGGGCTGGAGCTGTGCAACACGCTCTCCCTAAATCCTACAGCTTTGGGTTTGGGGTCTAGGGTTTAGGGTCCCTAGATGGCTCGCTAGGAACATAGCAGAAAAGTGCTAATGTTTTTCTGTAGCTGGACTCCACAGCCCTGCAAGTCTAAGGACGGCTGGCAAGAGCGCTTTCCCAGCCTCAGGGCCAAATTGCGATTCCGCCAGGTTCTGGAATTGTTGGGAATTTCGGAGTTCAGAGATTTGTTCCCTAAACCCTGAACCTAAAGCCTAAACCCTAAACCCCTAAACCCTAAAACCTAAACCCTAAACCCTAAAACCTAAACATTCAATCCTAAACCGTTTGCATGTCTTGGTTTAGTACTTCAACAGGGAGCTTAGTCTTCCGAGCCGCTGCGACCCAGGGGTTCCAGGTTCAGTTGCAGGGGCCTTGGCTTAGGTTTTAGGCTTTAGGGTTCAGGGTTCAGGGTTTAGGGTTCAGGGTTTAGGGTTTAGGGTTCAGGGTTTAGGGTTTAGGGTTTAGGGTTCAGGGTTTTGGGTTCAGGGTTAAGGGTTTCAGGGTTTCAGGGTTTAGAGTTCCGAGTTTAGGGCTTGCTATGGTTTAGAGTTTTGAGTTTAGGGTTTTAGGGCTTAGCGTTTCGAGTTTAGGGTTTTAGGGTTTCAGGGTTTAGGGTTTCGAGTTTAGGGTTTCAGGGCTTCAGGGTTTAGGTTTTAAGGGTTTAGAGTTGCGAGTTTAGGGTTTAAGGGCTTAGCGTTTCGAGTTTAGGGTTTTTGGGTTTCAGGGTTTAGGGTTAGGATTTAGGGGTTTAGGGTTTGGTACAACGAACTGGCAGCCTCGGAGATACTCTCCCAAACAGACTTTGTCGGCCCGAGCCATAGTGTCGCAGCAACTGCTCACGAGGCATCGCGATAGCTATGGAGCAAAACCCTAAACCCCCAAACCCTAAACCCCTAAGCCCTAAACCCTAGACCCCTAAACCCTAAACCTAAACCCCTAAACCCTAAACCTAACCCCCTAAACCCTGAACCTGAAATAAAAGATCAACGCATACCGCTACTTAGTTCTCCAATACCCAACCTTGAAACTTTTTTGGGTTCTTATAACTTGGTAGTAATCTGAAAGTTTAACCTCTTTTTCCCTGGCTTATTGGAGAAGTAAGCCGAACCTTAGTCACGACAAGACAGTCATCTTCGACATGATTTGCGCAATGTGGTGACCACCATACGGTTGATGATATCAATCCTGCATTTCCCCATAATAAGGAGTATACCATAATTCCCATATATAGTTTAGGGTCCTTAAGGTAATGCTAATATTGTCCCCCTAAACCCTAAAACCCTAAACCCTGAACCCTAACCCCCCTAAAACCCTAAACCTTAAACCCTAGACCTCCTTAAGGTAATGCAGGATTTATATCATCAGCAGTAGGGGGAAGCCACGGTTTAGGGTTATTCAGGGGTTTGGGTTTAGGGTTTAGGGTTATTCAGGAGTTAGTGTTTAGGGTTGAGGGTTATTCAGGGGTTCGTGTTTAGGGTTTAGGGTTATTCAGAGGTTTGTGTTTAGGGTTTTGGGTTATTCAGGGGTTAGTGTTTATGTATTAGGGTTTAGGGTTATTCAGGGGGTAGTAGGGAGCCATGCAGAGACAGCGTCTCAGGACTATTTCTGATCGCAATAGAGAAGGAATGTTCAGCGAAGTCTCGCACCAGGGTTCCCTTATTTGGGTTGCGACAGGGGATTTAGGGTCAGGCCTTTTTGTGGTCCGTGATGTGGGTGGAGACCAGGGAATTGGATCAGGCCTTTTGTGCTCCTGGTTTCCTTCAAACTCGTGTGTGTGTGTGTGTGTGTGCGTTTGTGTCTGTATCTGTGTTTTGTGTGCGTGTGTGCGTGTGCGTCTCTGCCCAGTGGATGGGGCTATAGCCCCTGATATGGTCGCGCAGCTTTGACTTAATGTTTATGTCGAGTAGAGAACACACCCAACTTTTGCGAATCCTTGTGTTCAAGGGTGGGGTGTGTTGTGAAGGTGGTTTGAAAGGAAGGTCCATTGAAAATACACTTGCTCGTACGGAGATTCGAACGAAAAAGTAGCCTACCTTGTGGCTATGTCGGGGACGGGAATTAAACTCATCTCTAAACCCTAAACCCTAAGCCCTACCCTAAAGCGTTCATGCCTCCCAATGCGACTCCTGTAGGCCCCTCAAAATTTGGATCCTTCATAGGGGCCTTCTTGTAAACGCGACTCGTAATTGTGCCGTTGGGGCCCTGGCTTGCGGAGCCCATCTTGGGAAACGATCCTTATCTGTGTGTTGTGGTTGAGACAAGGGGCCCTAATGTAGTCCCCTAAACCCTAAAGCCTAAAACCTAAACCCTACAACCCTAAAACCTAAACCCTAAAAACCCTAAAACCTAAACCCTATAAAGCCTAAAACCCTAAAGCCCTAAACCCCTAAACCCTGCAAAGCCTAAAACCCTAAAACCCTAAACCCCTAAACCTTTAAACCCCAGCAAGAAGCCCTGTGGGCTACACCTGAGGTGAAGGCTTCGCTCTGGCATCCAAGTCGACACCAGCTGGGCATTAGTTCATCTTCGCAAAGGAAGATTTTAGGGTTCCAGTAGGGTTTAAGTTTAGGGTTTAAGAATTATAGGGTTTAGGGTTTTTAAGGGTTCTATTAGGGTTTAAGGCTTAAGAATTATAGGGTTTAGGGCTTTAAGGGTTCTATTAGGGTTTAGGGTTTAGGAATTATAGGGTTTAGGGCTTTAAGGGTTCTATTAGGGTTTAGGGTTTAAGAATTATAGGGTTCAGGGTTTAGGGTTTTAAGGGTTCTAGTAGGGTTTACTTGGCGTTTTCTTCTGGTTCGCTCGTAGGACTTCAACTCTTTGGGTTTCTATACGAACCCAGAGACTCCAATATCCCTCAATTAAGGAATATACTTTACATCATATTAAGGATCCTACTATGATGTAAGGAATATTCCTCAATTAAGGGATATTGGAGTCTCTGAGAACTATCAGAAGGATGCTAAAAGTTTAGCTTTGAGCAGGGGTTCAGAAGTCAGCCAAGTTATGGTTGGGAGTTTAGAGTAGCAGAGCTGAGACCCATGGCCCCCACCTAGGGCTTCATGGTTCAGTGCAGTGCTAGGGTGCTGGGGCTGCTAAGGTCTATAGGCAGAGGAGTTCGGGATGATGAGGTGCGTTTTGGCACGCAGGGGCTTGCGGCAGGCTTGCAACCCTAAACCCTAAGCCCTAAACCGTAGGGTTTAGTGTCCGAAAGCAAGCAGCTTGCAGTGAGCCCAGGAGGGAGTTCGCGCCTTCCTCGGAAGATCTGCAAATCGGATGGGTCTCTAGGCGATGTAGGCCACGATACGTCAATTTTTCGTTTTTTCTTTTTTCAAGAGGACTGTATTCCAGAATTGTTGTTCAATCGCTTTGGGCCAATCTAATTAGATGTCTTAGTAGCTGAGTGAATACACTATACACTTTTTGGGATGGTACGATCCCTGACAGAACTGAAAGTGTACACCTCTTGGGGGCCTTAGGAACTCAGCAACTAAGACCAGGAGATCCTCCAAAACGGTTTAGGGCTTAGGGTTTAGTAGGGTTTAGGGTTTAGGGCCTATTCGAAGCAGTAAGGCCCCTATAGTAGAAGCCCGAAAGTTGGAAAATGATGATCTCAGCAACTAAGTCTAGGACATTTTCAGGTGGGTAGTTTACCGTTCTAGGAGCCTTAATCGAAGGTCTATATACCTTATAGAAGACTTATAGAAGCCCTGTATACCCTAAACTCCCCACCTGTAGTTTCCTTTAACTAAGATCTTGAAACGGGCTGGTGGAAAGCTGGGTGGAAAGCTTCATCGGCTGGAGATTCGGGAGCAACTGGGAGGTCTCCCGGCAGTGGTTTCTAAATGTTGGGGGCCTAATAATTACCAATACTATTTTGGGGTTCCTTATTATAACTATAGTATACTATACCCCTAAACCGTATTAAAATTATTATGGCCCCTAGAGTATCTGTTTGCGCTGCTGGTGATTCAGAGATTTGCATTGTGGTTGAGGCTGTAGGGGTGGTAGGCGGTAGGACATTGTTTTTTTGCTTGTCTTGCTGATATACCCTAAACCCTAAACCTTGTCTTGCTGGTATCATTCGTCGGCGGCCCTCCGAACCGGGGGAGCAGGCGCACGCCACTTACAGAAAGCATGCGGGCACCTTTCTTAGAATCAACCCTTTCAGGTTAGGGTTTAGGGTTTAGGCTTTAGGAAGGGAATGAAGGTTTTGCAGCCTCAGTAAACTTCAACCCGACCTCCTTCGGACATTTTGGTTTGCTTACACAATCTATCGGTTTAGGGTATTGGGTTTCGGGTTTAGGGTTTAGGCTAGAAAGACGCCTGACGCCTGGCGTAGAGTAAAGGGTATCAGAAGTTACATTCTACCTAATGCAAGATGTCCTAAACCCTAAACCCTAAACCCTAATGCAAGATGTCCATGCCCTGATCTGGTCGAAAGCTGACAGGCATGAACGCATGCAAGCCGAAGTATTTCTGGTCGAAGCCTCACCTGTTCGACGTCAGTGGATCCGAGCTGCTTGCTTTAATTGGCCCCCCTAAACCCCAAACCCTAAACCCTAAACCGACCAATCATGCTTCTGGTTCCTTCTTTGCACACATGAAAACGGTTTTCTCTTCTCTGATTGCACCTCTCCAAAGACCCCGAGGTGAATAAAGCACACGGCATGCACTAGCTGCACCTTCCTACCCTAAACCCTGAAACCCCTGAACCCTAAAACCTTAAACCCCATACCGAAAAGAGCCCCTAATTCCTATAATTATCCTAAAACCCTTAAGCCCTAAGTCATAAAATCCTAAACCCTAAACCCTTAAAAGATTATAAAACAGAAGCCCTAAACCCTAAACCCTAAACCCTATACCGACCGGTAGCAGGAATAGTCTGTCGGCGATCGGCTTCGCCGTGCCAGCTCGCATTGCTCCGTCAGAGGACAGGGCTTCTACGGTAGGGTTTAGGGTTTAGGGTTTAGGGTCTAGGGCTTACAAAGAATGGGTGGTTGTCAAAATTATGGTCCCTTTTTGGGTCCTTATTATAATACGGCACCTATTATTTAGGGTACCCCAAAAGGGACCATAATTTTGACAACTAGGGTTTAGCGTTTAGGGTTTAAGGTTTTGGGGGTTATAGCGAATAGGGCTGAGCTGGACCCTGAGGAACCTACCTTTTTAGGGATCCTTGCTATGATTTCCTTATAACCGTCCTTTCAAAGGTAGGTTCTTTGTTTGGAGTTCAGGTAGGTTGGGGGTTTAGGGGGCTACAGGATGGGTTTAGGGTTTGAGGTTTAGGGTTTGGGATTTTGCGTTTTGGGCCTTAAACCCTAAACCCTAAACCCTCAAGGGTTTAGGGCAAGCAGCCTAAGACCTGGTGGACAGAACCCGGTGCCGCTTCTGGGTCCCTTTATCGCCGATCCGTCTTCCGTCTTTATCTAGGACACTTTCAGGTGGGTAGCTTACCGTTATTGGAGCTTTATAGAAGGTCTATATACCTTATAGAAGCCTTATAGAAGCCCTATATGCCCTAAACTCCCCACCTGTGGTTTCCTTTAACTTAGGACTTTAGGGAGGCAGGAGAACTCAAGCTTGAACGCGCTCAAGCCTGCGGCGTAGCCCAGAGACGTATGATGCAGACTTCTGAAGCACCTTTATCGGAAGGCTCATCGTCGGGAATATGGTCATCGACTGATATTCTAGGCCACTGATTAGTAGGATCTCTTCCCTGCACACGGGTTATGATAGAGATGCTTCCGATCCTGAACTATGCGGGTTTTCAAAACAGGCGTCCGTGTTGAGGATGATACCCGGAAACGGGGTTCAGACGTAGAAACGGCAGAAGCCCGACCCTCCAAGACAAACCTCAAAGTCAAAAACGTACAGTCTTTGAAGTCGATGGGGACAGTACGGGGGCTTAAACAAATTACTATATTGAAACATCTGTAGGTTCCCTTAACATTACAGTAGAACATACCCCGAAACCCTATGCTACTTACATCCTGCTGTGATGTGCAGATTCCTTGTATGCTAGCCTATACAGCTATGATAGGCCGTTCGAGTACCTGCGCCACACGCTGGAGAATACAGTTGCAAATGCTATACGTAAAGCATGGAAACACCCAGCTGCAATAATAAGATACCACGCCTTTGCCCCGTGAACCTCGTTCTAAACCCTAAACCCTAAACCCAAAAAGAGTTGTCTTCCAACACCTACGACCGCTGCGCACCCTGAAGGTCTTTCACTTTTTTGCAATTTAGTTGGTCCCTATATAGTTGTATTATACTGTATGTTTTTGTAATCTAGATGGTCCCTATATTATACAATTGTATTATGCTGCACGTTTTTGTAATCTAGGTGGTCCCTATATAGTTGCATTACACTGTACCGCAAGATCCTGTTTAACAAATGAAGCCGCTATGTTGCCAGAGGACTTCGGCAAGCACTTTGGCTGCGGTCTGCTTTCGGCCATTGTTGAAACGGGCTTAGGGCATTCAAGACGAGGCATTGGTCTTTAACGAGAGTTTCGGACTTGGCATGCATACTAGGGTTTTTAAGCCTTAAACCCTAAACCCTCAACCCTAAGCCCTAGTTGTAGTTGCATACCCTAAAAGGGTCCCACAGCTTGACATTTAGTTCCTCTAGGATACTGAACATGTAATAAAGGGTTATAGGATTCTTCCAGTGTGGAGGGTGTAGGGTGTATGGTTTAGGGTGTAGGGTGTATGGTTTAAGGTTTAGGGTGTAGGGTTTAGGGTTTAGGGTATGACTTGAGATTCGATATTTAGGGTTGATCTTCTTGGCTCTGGGCAGGGAATGGGGGAATGGGGTCTAGGGACTGCTAAGAATCTTCGGGGACGATCACAGGGATCCATTTCCCCACGTATAATACTAAGAATCAGACCTAAACAGCTCGGAAGTATGTAGTTTCAGCCAAGCAGCATGCGGCAAACCCTAAACCCTAAACCTCTCCCACCACTCCCAAAATCCAAAGCTCCCACTGCTACTTCCTGCGCCCTAAACCAACCCTAAAGTGTTATATCCCATGACAAATCCCATGGGAAACCCCATATGAGCTTGTAAAGAAATTGTCAAACCCCAAAGCTCTAAATCCCAAGCCTCACCCCAACACCCTCGTCTCAACCCCTCTACTCTAAACCTAAACCCAAAATCCTCAGCCCGGAAGCAACAAACCTTGGTAAACTTGGTGTTCTTCTGGTTGGCTCTTAGGACTTTAGCTTCTTGGGTTTCTATATGAACCATAATACGGGGACGAAAAGTTTAGCTTTTTGGAGGGGTAAAGAAACTCTGAAAAGCTTGTATGATTGAAAAGCCTGCAGCTGCCAACGGCAGAGCCTACAACACTACTACAAACTTGATGGCTGTCTGAAACAGAACACCCCAAAAACCTAAGCCCTCACACTTGGAATCCTTTCAAAATTTAGGTATAGAGTTTGCTACTATAGGGCCCATTATACTATAATATAAGGAACCCCAAAATAGTGTTGGTAATCAACCCTAAACCCTGAACCCTAAACCCTAAAAATCATCTAGGCCCCTACATTACCCCCGCCGCCTCCAACAGGAAGCCGGATGTCGCGAAGGCCGCTCTTGTCGATGTTTTAACGGTTTAGGGTTTAGGATTTAGGGTCTAGGGTTTAGGGTTTAGGTGTCATGCTTAAAAAAAGGCGTTTCCATAGATAAGGGCTTGGGGTTTGGGGTTTAGGGCTTGGGGTTTGGGGGTTTTAGGGGTTTTGGGTGTCAGGGTCATGCTTTAAAAAGGCGTTTCATAGCTTCCTTAATCCTCCAATACCCAACCTTTAAATTTTTTGGGTTCTTATAACTTGGTAGTAATTTGAAAGTCTAACCTGTTATTGCTTGTTGGGGAAGTAAGCTTCTTGATAGGACTTTAGATGTGTTTTAGGAGTTGTTGACTGGGTTTGGGGTGTCTTCTTCTTTGATGTTCTATGGTCTTTAAAGGTCCTCCAGGCCTTGCAGAGTTTGCATTGGGATTTGTAGGTCCTTGCAGTGTGTTATGCAGGTCTTCAGAGGGTTGCATAGGTTCCTTGAGTTTAGGGTTTAGGGTTTAGGGTTGTTTAGGATTCTTGGGGAACGTGATAGGTTTTGCCTGTTAAGGAGTTCATGCAGACTTTAGCTGCAATGGCTTCCTATCGAGCTTTATCGGGTTTGCTTTGTGCTGTTTCTTGACTACCCAGCCTATTCGTTGGATTCTAAGTGGGTTTCGGTGGTGTGCGGCCTACGTTTAAACATCTCGTTTTGTGGTGGTT